ACGGAAGGCGGAGACAGGCACAGCTTCGCCGCCGGGGCGGTGAGCGGGCCACGGGCCCCTGGCGCTCTCACCGGGGAAGGTTCAGGCCTGACCGCGGTTCGATGCTTCCTTTCCGGTCAGGGCAGTGGGACCAGGGGGGCCAGGTAAGGGGTGAGGGTGACAGCCTAGGAGGTGATGATTAGTAGGTGAGGCAAGGTGACAGCACAACTGACGTTAGGAGGGACCTTGGGAAGGACACCCTGGGCACTGAAAGGGGATATACTTTGGAGATAATGGAAAAGGGAGAAGGGACATGAATGAAAGAAGAGGAAAACGGCTCGGGCGGTCGGGGAACTAGAAGAGATGTACAATACTGGCGTGTGGCAGCCAAATAGAGGGCAGTTGGGGGTGAGATGTTTCAGGCACAGGCCGTGCCTTGAGGCTAGATCCATGACCAGGCAAAATTGGTAAGTCAGAATTACCCACAGGCTTAAGTCACATAAGAAACAGGGCATTCCTCATCTTCAAGTAATCTGGGGTTTAGGCCATACCCCTGCAGTGAAGAGGCCTTAAGCACACAGTTACTTTCATGTTAAATCATCAGAACTAAACATTTTATAATCGTCTTTGTTCTCTAGAACACCTTGATCCAGTGAAGAGAGTGTCCTGGAATAGCAGGTATTTATACCCATAGTCAATATTGAGGTATGAATCCCTTCTTGTATACTAAGAAATAAATATTCTGATTTATGAATCATCTTTTGTGAGTTTGGGTAGCATGAATTAATCTGCCAGTGCTTGATCACCTTGGGCAAGCTGCTTAAAATCTACTTCTTGAAACTGTAATAATGAGGAGCAGACCTAGGACCTGGGTATGGAAAGAATACAATTCTTAGGTCAATCCAAGATGTCCTGATGTAGCAATTAGCTCTATCCTTGGTTGTGACCAAGTGGGGGGGAGTCATGTACCAATTTTGTTACCTCTATAGGCTATAACAGAATCTCACGAACTTCTGTTATATAAAGGGCAGACCCCCTTGCATAAAGTGGCAAATCGAAGTTTGTTGGGACTGAAGCTTGAGAACAAGAATACAAAAATATTTTACTTTTCCGACTTTACAAATATATTCAACAACATAAACATATAAAGGCCCCTCTAGGCAAGAGGTCCTGAAGCTTAAAAATAACATTTATATCCCCAAGGGGACCAAAAGGATAAAAGACTAAAAATACTAGATTTGGTGAATAGAGAATGCTTGAGAAAACAGTTTCAAAAAGAACTGAGTTTGAAAGCTAACTGTGAAGGACACATACAGTATTCAACAACTCTACATTTTGGATAAAGCCATCTGCAGGTAGCATTATGTACAAGCAGGGTTGGGTTATTGCTTATTTTCTTTTTTATTAGGAAATGTCTGTAGGGAAAAAGAATGGAGAGAAGCTTTAAAGAGGCAAGAAAAGGAATAATGAAAAGCCAAGAACAGGTGTGAATAGAAGGCAATAAAGTATGAAAAGGTCTTAACCTTGAAGAGACTTAGAGAAAAAAGAAAAAACTGAGAAAAGTGTAGGACAGATACATTAGCTGGCCTAGATCTTCTTAGTAAAAGAACATTTTTGCTGAAAAAGATAATGATTGAGGCTCAAGGATCTGAGAGCAGAAATACCTTGAAATAGGTAGTTACAAAAAAGTCATTTTGATATGACAAGAATACGAAATACTAAAATGTGCCCAGGTGACCCAGTTTACGGTGAAACTGACTCTTTTATAGGATTTTGCATCCAGGGGCAAGAATTAAGAAAATAGGTGGCATACAAGCTAACTCTTAGAGAAGTGGTAGTGCAAGGAGAATAAACAAAGGAGTTAAAAAATCAAGTATGATGGAGGGGAGCCTGGCTGGCTCAATCAGAAGAGAATGTGACTCTTGATCTTGGGTCATGAGTTCAAGTCCCATGTTGAGTGCAAAGCTTACTTAAAAATGTTGTTTGTTTTTTTAAAAATCAAGTACGATGGAGAAAGAACCACTGAAATGGTTTGTCATGGGTCCCAGCTAGATAGGGAGACATATTATGACAGAATTTAGCTAATAAACTGATAATACAAAGGCACCCTAGGAGTGGCAGTCACATAGGCATGAAGTGTAATGGGAGTAAAACAGGAGAAAAAGTGATTATTAAAGCAATTTGTGAATTTAACACCTTGGAAATGGCACAAGATGATGACAATCGGTTCTAAAGGGTGGGATGTTGGCTGTTCCTTGGGGTAGCTGAAGATTAATGAAAAATGTCGTTGGAATTGAGTTCAATTCCATGAGGTCACAGTATGAAAAATGATGAACTTTTTATGAAAAATCATAACATGAACTACTCAGGTGAGACACTAGAAGAGTTTGAGAAGGACATTTTAATCACTGAAGAAAGTGAAAATATTCTAAAAGAACTAAAGAAAAGAGTGTGGGAGTGCATGAGATTGTCAATGAGAGAGGAGAGTTTGAGATACAGCAAAGAAACAAAGGTTAAAAGAGACTAAGGACCATATGATCCAGCAATTCCATTCCTAGGTATATACCCAAGAAAAATGAAAACATATGTTCACACAAAAACTTTTACACAAATGTTTATAGCAGCATTGATATTCATAATAGCCAAAAAGTGAAACTCAAATGTCCATCAACTGATGAGTGGATAAACCATGGTATATCCACACAATGGAATATTATTCAGCTATAAAAGGGATGAAGTACTGACACATGGTACAACTTGGATAAATCTTGAAAACATTATGCTAAATCAAAGAAGCCTGACATGAAAAGCCATGTGTTGATTACATTTATGTAGTGTCCAGCATAGGCAAATCCATAGAAACAGAAAGTAGATTAGTAGTTACCAGGTACCGCGGGGGGGGGGGGGGGGTTGGAATGAGGAGTGATTACTAGTGGGTATGGGTTTCTTTTTAGGGTGATGAGATAGTGGAATTATATAGTGGTCATGGATATACAACCTTGTGAATACACTAAAAACCATTGATCTGTACACTTTAAAAGCATGGATTTTATGTATGTGAGTTATATCTCAATACAAAAATAGACTACAGGACAAGAAATACATGGCCTTCTAAGATATCTTTTTCTATAAATTTATGTATTTTATCTTACAGTAGCCCAACTCTTCCTCACATTAGTGATCATCCCTATTAAATGACACTTGGCGACATTCTCTATATATCTTGACATCCCAAAACAATGTGCTTTAGTCAGTTTCTTGCCAAAACAAACAAAATACCTTTCACTTAGGTCCCTTGAAATACTGATTTATCATAAGTTTTTGGCATCCCTTCGAATGAGTCACCAAGTGAACAGAAGGGCCATAAAACCTCAGACTACACAAAGCACTCTTTATTTCCAGTATTATTATAGAGTGTGCACTTGTGAATACATCCCACCATTCTATGAAGAAAATGGACTGACTTATTTTGAAGTTCTGGTTCTTTGATGGAAGGACACTTGCCATAGAAGAGAAAATTCTGTTCTCAACCTAGTAGTTGATTCAATGACCTCATTACTGCATATAAAAGTGATTAAGATGATGATCAGGTTTGAAAACCTAAAGTACAATTACCACTTACTTTGCCAAATTCAACATACATGTATATTACAGCAGTGTGAACCTGGAAATTCATTCCTCCAATGTGAAAAATATACATTGTTTGCATTGGCAACATGCCTCTTACAAAAACTCTCCCTTGATGTTCCATCTCCCTCTAGCCTCTACCCCATTCCTCCCTCTTTAATCTTTATAGCAAAACTACAGAAAAAGTCTATTTGTTTCTCTTTCTTGTTTTTTTATTTTTAAGTGGGCTTCTCACCCAGCGTGGAGCCCCACTTGGGGCCTGAGATAAAGACCTGAGCTGAGATCAAGGGTCCAACTCTTAACCAACTGAGCCACCCAGGCACCCTGAGTCTATTTGCTTCTTTTTTTTTTTTTTTTTAACGTTTATTTATTTTTGAGACAGAGAGAGACAGAGCATGAATGGGGGAGGGTCAGAGAGAGGGAGACACAGAATCTGAAACAGGCTCCAGGCTCTGAGCTGTCAGCACAGAGCCCGATGCGGGGCTCGAACCCACGGACCGGGAGATCATGACCTGAGCGGAAGTCAGCTGCTTAACCGACTGAGCCACTCAGGCGCTCCAGTCTATTTGCTTCTTACCTCTAGTTGTCTCTCGGGCTTTCATCCTTATCATTTCACTGAAATAGGTTTTCCTGAAAGTCACTATGGCCTACATCCTGCCAAGGCCATCTGTGGCAGAGATTACTATTCACAATAAGCTGGTTCCTTTTCCTGTATGTATTATGGCTTACTTATTTTCTGCCATCTCCATTGAAGTTGGGGTCATGTGACTTAATTCAAGCCAATGGAATAGGGGATATCTACCATTCACAGTCTTGGTCCATAAAAATCTCCACTCAAGATCCTCCATATTCCTGTTCTCTTTCAGCTGGCTATAACAAAGATGACTACAGTGTGATCTTGAAGCCACACATTAAAGCTAGTAGAGCCTTCATTCACCTGTGTTCCTAAATGACTCTGTGGTGGAGAGCCAGACCAGTGGCCTCTTCACCATCACTCTCCTATTTTTTTTTTCAACGTTTATTTATTTTTGGGACAGAGAGAGACAGAGCATGAACGGGGGAGGGGCAGAGAGAGAGGGAGACACAGAATCGGAAGCAGGCTCCAGGCTCTGAGCCATCAGCCCAGAGCCTGAGCGGGGCTCGAACTCACGGACCGCGAGATCGTGACCTGGCTGAAGTCGGACGCTCAACCGACTGTGCCACCCAGGCGCCCCTCTCCTATTTTTTATATGAGGGGCAAAAAAGCTATTGTGTTTGTGCCATTAGACATTTTGGGGGTCTATTTATTAGAGCAGATAGACCAGTTTAATTAATTCACTACCTTTATTGACCTGTCAGCAGCATTTGCTACAACTGCCTATTCTTTCCTTCTGAGATAAACTCTTGAAACATAGCTTTCCATGACACCAGTTCTTGCCATATTTTGTCTCCCTCAGTTTCCTTTGCAGGCTTCTCTTGTACTAGAACCCTAAATGTTGAGAGTATCTGAGGGCTCAGTCCTCAGCCTCTTTTGTACACTCTCTTCCTAGATGATCTCATCTTATCCAATACCTGCAAAGACCTATATTGACCACTCACAGCACTGAGCTCTCCTCAGAATTCCAAAATCAAACCACCTGGCATTTCTTCCTGGCTATCCAATTGACATAGGAAACCTAGCATGGCTGAGAGAACTGTTGATTTTTTCCCTCCACAATCTACTCCTGTTCCTTCCATATCTCAATAGAATACCTCTCTCCACTCAAGTTCCACCAAAATCCCAGGGATCATCCTTGAACATTATTTTTCCCTCACATTCAGAATCCAATCCATAATTAAGTCTTGTAGGTTCTATCTCCACAATACATCTTATTAGCTGATAATTTATCACCATCTTGACAACTGCAGCCCTCATCCAAACCACCATCACCATCACCTGACATCCCTTCCTGACAGGCTACACACTAATTCAGATCACATCCTTCCCTGTTCAGGTCCCTACAATCCCAGTACAAGAGTAAAATCCGAACTACAAAGGCCACCCACAATTTAACTCTTATCTCTTGATATCTGCTGTTATGTACACACTGGCCTTATTGCCCCTGAACACACCAAGCTCCTTCCAAACACAGGGCCTGTGCATCTGTTCTTCCTTCTATTTGGAATGTCTCCTACCAGATCTTACCAATGTTGTCTTCCTTCATTTGGGGCCTCAAATGTACCTCTTCAGAGAGGCCTTTCATCACCACCCTCAGTAATGATTAAGGAACAGCCCATCTCCTGTCACTATGGCATTCTCCACTAGTTCTACCCTCTGTTAGCCATGTGATCTTGGAAAAATAGCTAACCCCCAGTGCCTGAATGAACTCTTGTGTAAAATAAACAGTACTCCTTCTCGTAGGATTACTGCTGGGACTAAAGGAGTTGTATTGTGCCCAGAACTTATCAGGAATGAAGTTACTTCCTTCCTTCTTTCTTTCTTTCCTTTCTTTCTAATGTTTATTTATCTTTGAGGGAGAGCGCACGCGAATGCACAAGCAGGGGGAAGGGCAGAGAGAGAGGGAGACATAGAATCTGAAGCAAGAAAACTCCAGGCTCTGAGCTGTCATCACAGAGCCCAATGTGGGGCTCCAACTCACAAACTGCGAGATCATGACCTGAGCCAAAGTCAAGTCAGACACTTAACTGACTGAGCCACCTAGACACCCCTGAAATTACTTATTTCTATGTTTGTTGCTGCCCTCCCTCAAAAAATACAAGTTTCCAGAGGGTAGGCTGTACCCGGCTGGATTACTAACCAGCACCTAGGAAGATTTCTGGCACATACTAAGATTCTGATATTCACTGACTTCTGTGTAAATCCTTCTCACTTCTGTCACACATTTGTTACTGCTTTGAAACATCACTCTAAGTCATTTCTGTTAAGTCCTCATGCTTTGAAATGTCAACTCACATCTGTTCTCTAAGTCGCTATCCTTATCACCAGTATGTGACAATTTTTTTTTACCTCTACAAGCTTTATAGTTCATCTTTTTAGGGGCACCTAGGTGGCTCAGTCGGTTAAGCGTCCGACTTCGGCTCAGGTCACGATCTCGTGGTCTGTGAGTTCAAGCCCCACGTCAGGACTCTGGGCTGATGGCTCAGAGCCTGGAGCCTGCTTCCGATTCTGTGTCTCCCTCTCTCTCTGCCCCTCCCCTGTTCATGCTCTGTCTCTCTCTGTCTCAAAAATAAATAAAAACCTTAAAAAAAATTTTTTTTAATATATGTAAAATCATAGGCCCTCAAAAAGTATTCCTTTTTCTCAGCTCAAAGACTCATAGTATTTAGCAACAATTTGACTTCCCAATGACTTTTTATTAAGTAAACTCTACCCCCACCCCCCTGACACGGGGCTCAAACTCAAGATCCAGAGATCAAGTCACATGCTCTACCGACTGAACCAGCGAGGTGCCCCTGCAGATGTTTGACTTCTGTTCCAATTTTCTACTCTGCCTCATTACTTACTGCTGTGCTTCCTGAATGGAGTTCCTGATTAAGGGATCCTTAATTTTAGGATCCAACTAATGCTGGAGGCTGTGATTTTACAATTTGCTAAAATAAAACCAGGATAAAAATGCATTGCATTCAAAGTTTAAATTTCTGGTATTTAAAAACCCATTTTCTAAAATTAAATAACTTATCCTTTAAAGCAGATTGACACTTGTGGCTAATGCAGTGTTTCAAATCATTTCATACTAGCATGACTGCAATATCCTGAGCTTCAGTCTCCTCGGCTGTAAAATAGTTAACGACATTTAACCTGCCTAAATATTAAATCAGAAACGTGGTTCATAGTATATCTTCAAATATTACAGAAAACTCATTTTAGAAATAAAAATGGGTGTAAAGATATTTTACCAGTTGCACTATTTTAAAGCGTTGTGTCGCTTTTCATTAATATCTTCATGCTATCCAGAACTCAAGTCATTCTCAATTCATCAAAATACCTAAATTCAGCTGCCAAAAAATAAGCTAAATCTATTTCCCCTCCTCAGATAGAAGTCTTGAACTACAACAGCACATCAGTTTTCCTTCTTCCATTCTTGTCCTCCACCAATTCTTCACCTGTCATTATTCTATCACTCCCATACTTAATTTTCCTTAATGGCTTGCTGTAGTAATTAAAAAAAAAAAAAATCAAATAAACTCCTTACCCTGGTTTAGGTGATCTAGTCCGTCTCTCTCCTACCCCACCTCTTACATTCTGCCACCTCTCGACCCTACTTCACCTACTCCAGGCACTTTCTACCTTCCATGCTTTTCCAATTTTACAGGCTTTGCATTAGCTGATCCTCTGGCTGGAGTGCTGGAATGGGTGATTGAGGAACACCATCCTAAAGCTGACACCCACTTGCTCATGTATTACCTTATCTTCATGCTTTGCCAAGTATTTACAACTATGTCTTCGCCGTTATCAAGTAAATAAGCTCAGGGAGACCAATGGACTTATTGACTCATGTAACTTCAACATCAAGAAGAGGGCCTTGGGGGTGCCTGGGTGACTCAGGTCACGATCTTGTGGTTTTTGAGTTTGAGCCCCGCATCCGGCTCTGTGCTAACAGCTCAGAGCCTGGAGCCTGTTTCAGATTCTCTGGTTCCTGCTCTGCCCTGACCCCTCTCATGCTCTCTCTCTCAAAGACAAGTATTAAAAAAAAAAATTAAAAAAAATTAAAAAAAAAAAAAAAGAACAGGGGCTGGTACACAGAGCTGCTCAGTCAACACTTCATCAAATGTTAAATGGTTTGTCATTAAAACAATAGTATAATGGGGCACCTGGGTGGCTTAGTTGGTTAAGCGTTCCACTCTTGATTTCAGTTCAGGTCATGATATCATGGTCATGAGATTGAGCCCGTCAGGCTCCGTGCCGAGTGTGGAACCCGCTTGGGATTTTCTCCCCTGCACCCCTCAAAGATAAAAGTAAACATCAAACAAAGCACACACACAAAAAATGGTATAATAGATAGTATAAAGGAAAATAGTATAAAGGAAACGTCAAAGTATTTACAAGGACCATCTATGGATTAGACTGTGAGAGTTCATTCCTTTGGATTACATGTATTTTGTATAATGTGCACGTTTGTTTATTTTTTTTATATTGCGGTAAATATACATAAAATTGGCCATTTAGAACTTTTGAAATAAAAAGGCACAAGCCAAAATTTTACACAATTCTAGATAGCCTGATCTTTCCAAATCCAAGGTTTCACTAGCACTCCTGCCTCCTTACCCAGAAAGCCTGTTTTTCACTCGTGTTCCACACACCATTTTATTTCTCCAGTTATGCAAGTGAGAAACTTAGAATTCTTGGATACTACCCTTTCCCTCACCAAAACCTGGCCATTTTACCCCCCAAGTCTTTCAAATTCTTTAGATTTCTAACACAGTACTTGAGTACACCTCAGTACGAGCTAGTACTACCAGTCTATTATATCTTTTGACTGAAATACTGGCAGTATCCATTACCTGATTTAATCAATTTGCCACAGAACTCCTTCAGTTTGTTTCCTATGTAGCTAGAGATCTTTCAAAATAAAATTATCTGCCCCTACTTGTTAAAATCCTCAACTTCTCATTGCTCTTAGCATTAAGACCAACCAAGGACCTTTATGGTCCGTCCACCCCCCCCCCCCCCCCCCCCCCCCCCCCCGCAGCCAGCCACCTTCTTAAATATGCACCCACACACTTCTTACAGCCTGAAAAACTGATAGAAGGGAGACAGGGTAAGTTTTGAGAACAGATGAGACTTCAAATATTTCTATGATAAACAGGTCAAAAAAATGAGATGTTTGTTATTAGAGAGCCAGGTATGCATCAATCATTTAGAGAAAACATTGTTTTGGATTTTGGAATTTTGAATTTCCTAGGACTTCAATGAGGTACGTAGCAAAAAACGATTTAAAAAATGTGTCTGGGGGCGTGCCTGGGTGGCTCAGTTGGTGAAGTGTCTGACTTTGGCTCGGGTCATGATCTTACGGTTCAAATGTGAGTTTGAGCCCTGCATCCGGCTCTGTGCTGACAGCTCAGCCTGGAGCCTGCTTCAGATTCTGTCTCCCTCTCTCTCTGCCCCTCCCCCCGCTTACACACTCTCTCTCTCTCTCTCTCTCTCTCTGAAAGACGTAAAAAAAAAAAAAAAAAAAGAAAAAAATGTGTTTGGAACACAGAATAGGTTGACCGCAGAAATGCAATGCAATGAAGTCAAAAGTAGTAATTGCGGGGCACCTGGGTGGCTCAATCAGTTAAGTGTCCAACTCTTCATTTCGGCTTCAGGTCACAGTATCATGTTTTGTGAGACCAAGCCCTGCATCAGTGCAGAGCCTACTTGGGATTCGCTCTCTCTGCCCCTCCCGTGCCCTCTCAAAAATAAACAAGTAACAACGAATACTTGCAGAGG